TAGCCCTTGTGGCTGGTCCACACTGAGTTGTTGAAGATGTTGAGATATTTGCAGTATCTTCAGGATATGTGCACACTGTGTTTTGTCAGCAGGCACATGCAGCCTTGTACAGAAGGCCCAAATCAGCTAAAATGCATATATTCATACTAGCACAGAACCAAGGTAGATGATTTTGCTGCTGTCTTGGCTACTTGAGAACTTGTAGGAGCTGTAAAGAAACTCTATCAGCATATTTAGAGCATGTGTATTCCACTAAATACAGTGGACTATCCATATAAAGTGTAATGCAGAAAAGTTTGGAAATGTGTAATCAAGGCAACAGCCCTCTGTTACTGCCGACAGTTCAGCATGGAAAAACTGCATAGCAGTTGGAAAATAACGTATTTGGCTTGTCTCACAAGCCATACAATTTTGGTAACTTTCTTCAAGAAACCAGGATTTCTGTAAGGTCTCAGTGGCCATGAACATGAAGAAATTATTTGCATACCTTAGGTTCAAAATTCTGTACCAACTGAAAAATGATGCAAACTTGGGTCCTGCATCCTTCAGCCAAAAAGGAAAAAATTCAGTGAAAGTGTATGCTGAGCAACAAAAAACATTCTTCAGTGCAACTGTTTAAGACTCTGTTGTCTGACGTGATCACAACTTCCCAGACAAAGGCAGCACACCCCTCCACTTATGTTATTGGCTAAACTTCTGACTGTACTTGTTCAGTCCTATGAGATATGTATTAGCAGTCAAAATGGTGTAGTCTTTTTCCGGGTTCTGATTTTGTTCCTCACTTATTACAAGTGATGGTTCTTGGAAATGCAATCAACTCCCTTTCTGCTTATCTTGGCATAAAAAGTGTCCGTGATCGGAGTTATACCTCAGGATTTAAAAATAACTCTTAGATATCACTCAGCTTCCAAATCCTTGCAAGAGAAATGTTGGAGGAAAAGGCTTCTGCAAATAAGAAACTGTCAGTAATAACCTCTGCTACAGAGGAGATATTTTCCAAAACTAGTGCCCTACAAAATCTAGGTACTTTGACTCAAGGATCACCTTCAGTCTGGACTTGTCATGCATGACTGGGTCATAAACACCCTTTGTTCTAGGGCAAGCCTGCAATCTCTGATGAAAGCTGAACTTAAACCTTCTTACTGTAAGTTACATTCATGTTCTGAAAGGTATGAGATGGATGCTCAGCCCTATAGAAGCATCCTATCTTCCAAAAGCTGCTTCCCTATCTCAGGGTTTTCTCCCAGTCAGAACAGACAATGTGTATCACTTTCTAGTCCCCCAAAAAGAGTTACTTCTGTTTGGTGCTGTTATGATTTGACCCTTATTTCTTATCCCACCATCTTAAGTTTCCCTCTCTCCAGGTGGCATGATACAGGAGTTAAAATGTTGTCTTGGCTTTGCAACTCTTCACATAAAGCCTTTGTAGGATACATGTGTTAATCTTATGAAGTAAATGCTCTTCAGTGAGTCAGCACCTCCTGACAGACCACATATGGATGACATTAATACTCTGATGAAATTGCTGTAATGGATTGCTTAGACCGCCCAGTTTCTACCCCTTCCTCATCATTTGCTGGCAGTTGTAGATTACCACGTGTCAGAGCTTGTAAAAATCCTGTGTGAGCAGATTGCTGAATACACTGCCATGGGTATTGCTGTCTGCAGGTTACATGCATTCCCACTGGAGCTCTGTACAGGGGTGCTTGAGCACAGTGGGATTCTGTGTCATGATTTGATCTAAGTAAAATGTTTCTATTGTTACCACCAAAATTTTAGCGTGGATACTCCGAGAATATTTGCCATTACTCAGTATGTATTCTCTTGTTCTTACTGTGTGTCTGGACTAGCTTGGCTCTGTTTAACTTTCTCAGTGAATCCATAATATTAATTTAAACTATTACTTTCTTATTAATTCTGTTATCTGTTTTTGTTCTGCACTGTTTCTGCTTTTATTGAAGCACTTGTTCTTGTGGAATGAGTAATAAAAAGGAAAAAAATGTCATCTCTATTAATGAATGGGATCTGTTATCAGTTTGCTTTTTCAGGGCCTGGTAGCCATTAAACACAAAAGAGCTGTTTTACTAAAGTTGGCAGGAATATTCTGGCATTATTCCTTCTCCTCTGAATGTCCAGTGGTTGACACAGATAATGTTTAGCCCTGCTTCATTTAGCTTCAAGAAAACAAACAAGGAAATCAGCATTAAGGGTTATGTAATTCCTCATTTCCATGTGAGTGCCAGGGAGCAGTGAAAGACAGCTGCTTCCTGAGGGACAGGGTGTGGGATCCTATCAGTGCTGTGATCCCCAACATGGGAAGAATAATGTGAAGAAATCCATGATATCAGAAGGCTAATTAATTACTTTCCTATGCTATATTATACTAAAACTATATTACACTATGTTATACTAACAAGAACTATATCACTAACTAAAAACCCGTGACACTCTCTGCTGAGTCCTGATACATCTGTGACCTAACTGGTCAATAAATCTAAAACACCATCACCAGAATCCAATCAAGCAATCACCTTGGGTAAACAGTCTCCATAACACATTCCACATGTGCACAACAACAAGCAGCAGCAAGTGAGATAAGAATTGTTTTGATCATTCTTTTCCCTGCTTCTCTCACAGCTTCTCTCAGGAAAAGTCTTGAGAAAGCTGTCTCTGTTCAGAGGGTATGCGAATACCACAGGATCCCAGTGCAGTAACCTGCTGGTAGCTGGGCTCATCCCACTCCTAGCCAGGAATGGGGCAGCCCTAGCCTAGGCATGGGCACCTCCCTGGGAACAGGATGGACACAACTGGAGACTGGCCCTGCTGTGGTGTTGCTGAGGCAGCGACTTACGGCTCTGGAAGATTGAAATTGGGTCTTGGACCCTAGACAGGATAGGGGCAGCCCCAGGGTGCTGGACAGTGGTAAGGCTTGGTGGTGCCCTCAGGACCTGACATTGAGCTCTGAATCCTCTTATTGCTACAGCATTTATTAAGACTAGAATGAGCTGGTTGTAGCAAAAAGCGACAAGAAAGAAAAGTAAGTGTGCTCCAGTCAAAAACCACTGGTTCAATAACATCCAGTGTTCAATAACATCCAGTGTTCTCAGACATTATCACTTGACTCTACTGCCTTACTGCACCCTTTTTACTTTGCCATATATTTAAAGTAGGATACTATATACATGCAGAGAATTATTTTCACCATGTGGGTGTCTCCTGACCACAGAGCTTAGTCACAGTTCCCTCCACAGCCTTGGACCTCATGGTTCTCATTAGCCATAGATCTTCCCTGCCCCTTAAGGTTTTGAGCAGGGCAGTGGGAGTCACCATGTTCAGGGAGCGGAGTCAAATGCAGCTTATGGAAATCTGAACCCTACTGGTTCCTCTCAGGAGTGACATTTCCTGGTTACTCTCTTAGTGTGGTTGTTTCAGATCTGTGCCATCCCAGCACTCAGTCTTTCCCAGTGTTCCTCACTGCCTTGGAAACTGCCTTGGAGGAGTTTTAAAACTCAGTATTCAAAATGGGTTAATATATACCAGTAAGTCATCTGATAACTGAAATGGTCCTTCCTTTCCTTCCTTTCCTTCCTTTCCTTCCTTTCCTTCCTTTCCTTCCTTTCCTTCCTTTCCTTCCTTTCCTTCCTTTCCTTCCCCCCCCCGCCACATTTTGACCATTTTTTTCAAGAGAAGTGAGACTGAGAGTTATCCCAAACCTGTTCATTCTTCTCTCTGTCTTCCAGGAAACATAATCTTTAGGTTCTTCTGTGTGCTGGACTATGCTTCAGTTACATCAGAAACATTTAATAATTATTATTTATAATATTTATAATAATAATAATTAGTATTTTTTTATTTCAGGCAGAATTTTCCTTCTAATATTTAACTAGTTTCAACAATTTGTTTTACTTTACACATTGAAACAGTATGAAATAAAATTTTTCTATTCCTTTGGCTCTACTGGTAAATATTTTTTTCTCAATTAACCTTCAGTGTGGTATTTTCAAAAATCTGGGGAATTCTGTTATAACAGTATTTTCCCTAAATTGTTAATAGTTCTCTTAGTATTTCACCTAATGAGAAAGCTGTGTCCTAGCAATTGATACAGAATGTCTGTCCATGAATATTTCAGCCTTACAGCCTGAAAATCAGATCCATGGCAGGAGAGAGGATGTTGTTGCCTATAGCAAAATGAATGACAGTGTTTTGGGTCTGATTTCAAAGGTCTCATGGGGATTTTAAGTTAATTTTACTTCACTGTTAATAACGTAGAATGTTTGCACACATAATATTTTTATAAGTTTGGAGGTAACAGGAGTTGTAAGATGAGTAATAGTCTTCATTCCCACAAAAGGTTTGAGTGAATCCCTTCAATTTTTATTTATTTAAGGACTTCTGCTAGGTGTTTTGGGGAGCAGCTAGGCTATCTGTCTAGCACATCTGTCTTCTTTATATGCAAGTTGTGATGTAATTTATTTAACACCTGTAGTACTGTGCACAGGAAAATTGTGATGAACAGTTGCAGAAGTTAATTATTAATTAATTGGCTTGCAATCGTCTAGATGTTCACTAAGTACCACTGCCAGTACCTTCCATCTCTATCTCTTTTATTTCCTTTTTTTTTTCCCTTCTTCAGCCTTCTAGTTTCTTACAATCACTTGTTTGATATTGGTGAAAGTCACATTTTTAATTCTTTGGGGACTGAAGTCTCTATATTGTTTTTATATTAATCTTAGCAATTAATAATATTGAGGAGATTGATTACAACTTTTTCTCAGTGGGAAAAGGATAAAAACAGTTATCAGTTCTTGCTCTGATTAGTTTCTGAACATTTGCTGTGAAAATGGACTTGCTTAGCAAAGCAAGTCAAAGGAAATTACATCATGGTTAATACAACCTTTTGCTGCTAGTTAATTCAACCTGGTGTTCATTGATCTGGTTTTCTAGCACTGCTTTTCTACTTATTTGCCTCTCTGAGCAGGTTTTGTTTGTGTCTTTTGCAGGTCAGAATTAGCCTCTTGCTGTGATGCAGTTCACAATTTTATTGCTTCTCAAAACAACAGCCCACTGGGGAGTAACATGAGTTATGAAGTGGACAGTAAAAAGACTATTCTTATTACAGAGGACATTTTTAAGATGTTGCCTGTGGTAAGATCTGTATCTTTTTCTTGTTATTATAATCACAGTATATATATATTTTGGGTTAGTAATTGAGATACTGTGATTCCTCTGGAAGAGACCAATCAGCCTCTGTATGCACTTTATGCACTTCTTTATTCACCTTGCAAGGTGGTTTTTTTTTTTTTTTTTTTTCCCCTTCCTCTGCAGTGGTAGAGGCATTTACAGATATCATAAATCATAGATTGGAGGTAGAGTTGCTACAGAACACTGGCTTAGCAGCCAGTTGAACTCAGGAGCAAATACTCTGAAAATGTTTGCCTTGCTTTTATCATTATCATTTATCATTCCCATTTTTAAAGGCATTTCAATCTGGAAGAACATTTCATATTCCTCATGTGCCCATATTCCTCCAGTGCAGGCTTGGGCATGTAAGTTATGAAAGATATTTTGGTAGTAAACCTGATCTATATAGCATAGAACATAATAGAGTAGAACAGAGAAATTTCAGTTGGAAGGGACCCACAATGATCACATAGTCTAACTGCTTGATCAACTGAGGGCTGACCAAGTTAAAGCAAGTTATCAAGGACATGGTCTAAATGCCTCTTAAACACTGACACCTGGGGACATCAACCTCTCTAGGAAGCCTGTGCCAGCAAGTGACCATCCTCTTGGTAAAAAAATGCTTCTTAATGTACAGCCTAAACCTCCTCTGGTGCAGCTTGGAACCATTCTGACGTGTCCTATCGCTGGATACAATGGAAAAGCGATCAGCACCTTCCTTTCCCTTCCTCAGAGAGAAATGAGATTACTTGTTCTTTTCTCCAAACTATACAAGTCCAAAGCCCTCAGTCACTCTTCATAGGACATTCCTTCCAGCCCTTTCACTAGCTTTGTTACCCACTGGGGGAGGGTGTTTGCAGCTAGAAACAGAGGTTGAGAAAAGGAACCAGATTTTTTACCTCAGGACTACAGTAGATATACAAGATCTTGAGACTAGACAAAGAGTTTGTATTTGGTTTCTTGAAGCTAAGAGCATATGGGAACCCTCTTACCCATCTCTGGAATTCTTGGTTTGTGAGATCCCAGCTACCATGAGTCTAATTCTTCCGAACACTGCTGTGAATAAGTCTTTACTGACTGAATTGCAATAGAGGATATAGTAATTCCAAATTTAAGCTTGAGAAATGAAAAAGTAGCATGCTTTATGTGCACATATACATGCTAAGGTATCCAGAATTGCCTGGCCTGTGTGTTGTCTTACTATCCTTCCAGAATTGAACAAAATATTTGAACATGTTGTTCTGTAATATATTTACAGGCAAATACAATGTTTGCCACTTTCCCCACACTTTTTGAATTATTCATAACAGTGTCCCTTCTTTCTTCTCTTTGGGCAAGCTGAAGAGAGAAGAAAGAAAGCTAATTCTTCCTATAAGGAAGTTTTGACTCACTTTTACAACTAGGTTTAATTTCTGCAAAGTATCCCATCTATTGGCCTCTGGTAAATGTCAGTGTTCCCACAGCAGAAGAGGTTGAGCAAGATATATGAAAAATTTCTGAGACTGGGATAGCAGCCAGCTATATTAACATCAACCTAAATAGCCAACAATTTTCAGTAATTTTTTAGGTTGTGAACTGTGCTAGTTGTCAAGTGGATGCACTTAGCTCCCACTCAGCTTCCCCACTGCAAGACAGCAAGCTGTAATAAGAAGAGGAGCAGGGGTGAACAGCCAGAAACAGTAACCTCTTCTGTGGGCATTTACGCATTTACAAAGAGTTAATAGGGCACATCATTATCCTTTACAGTATATTCAGGTTCCCCTAAATTCATTATTCTGTTTCAAATGTACTTGTGTGATGATACAGATGAGGAGAATTTACAAAGTTACCTTCTATTACCTGAGAAAGTAAATTACACCCCAGTGCAAAGGAAAATGGGTAAATTTAAACTGTCTTCAGTATAAATTAGCTTGTCAAGGTTTCAAGGTTCCTTAGCTTGTCAAAGTTACAATCAACAACTCGATAGTTTTAGTGTTAAGTGTATTTAAAAGGTACCCAGTTTTAACAATCCAGTCTTATTCTGTCAAAGTTCTGATATTAGAGGTAACAGTTCTTTGTCTGTTGGTGCCTATTTTTGGCTCTTGGCTGTCCAGATTTGGCAATCCTGTCTGCTAAATGGTGAATACTTTTACTGGGATTTAACAGATTAAACCTGCAAGACCAATAAGACACAAAGAAACAATCAAAACACTTGTAATGAATTGGCTGCATCTTCTTATTTGTTTGCAGACCTCTCCTCTTCCAGTCTATCCCTTCAAGAACTGTGCTGTGGTTGGAAATGGAGGCATTCTGAAAAATTCCAGCTGTGGAGCTGAAATTGATAGTTCTGACTTTGTGTTCAGGTAAGAGCTGCTTCATTTTCCTTAAGTGTGTTCAACATTCTAAAAACTTGGCAGGATTGGAAGTGTGCCAATGCCAGTTTGTAGCAATGAGGAAGAATCTTGACAATTTGTTATTTCTGCCTCTTTAAGGATACTTCTGTTTTGTAGTTTTCAGAATGCTGCTTTCTAATTAAAGAGCGCACTGCATGATAAATGTATGATCTGTGATTGCTAAGTCACCTTGCAGTGATGTGAAATGTGATTATCTGAGAACCTGACATTTCTGGCCATTTAATATCCTTTAGGAGACTGGTATTAAATGTCACATGTGTATCTTTGGCTTAACAAAGCGTTTACTTAGCCATAGTTTGATTCACCCATGTAGCTACTTAAATCCCCAAAATTTGTTTCATCTGTTACTCATTTAAAAAATTAAGCATTTATTTAAGTAGTGTTTTTAATCTCCCTGGGTACACTGGGAGATAACCAGGTGCAATTGGAGTGCAATTTTGCCCACTCTCTCAGTATATGACTCACAGTTTATAGTTCATGCAAAGAAACAGAGCAACAGAGGGAAGATTCTTTTCTCAGTGCTGTCCAATCACACAGCATGCTGGATTTAGTTTCCTTTTCTTACTTTTATCTAAAATTTGGGCTTTTGAAAGGCTAAAAAAAAAGTCTCTCCAGTTAGGTACCTTTTTTAATAAAAATGGGAAGTCTCTGTACTAAAATGCTAAATATACTAGGTGACTGAATTTAAGAAAATGCTTTCTTTACATTTTACAGAAATCATTGTTTCTGCGATAAAGCAAGTGATGCGGTTGTTAGAAGACACAGTAGAAGACTTTCAGCAGGAATGCATTGCTTAGGCAAGAGGAGCAATATTTCCTAGCAGCCAGAATAGGGCATTCATAGACTGGCTCCTCCCAAGATTTTGACTGTGCTCCTGGTTTTGATACAATTTATGAAAATGAGCTCTCTGTGCCCTATTTTAACCATCTGTACAGTATATTAAATATCTTACTAGAAGTGCTGTAAGCCTTATTTAATACTTGTAAAGTGCTTAGACATCCCTGGGAGCTGACGTGAAAGTGTCATTGCACAAGAGAGGAATTTGCAAATAGAAACTGTAAATCATTTCTGGTGCACATCTGTTTAAGCAAATGTTTCTCAATTTCAGGTGTAACCTACCTCCAACCACAGGAAACATTAGTAAAGATGTTGGCAGTAAAACAAACCTTGTGACTGTTAATCCGAGTATCATAGCTCAGAAGTGAGTACTGCTGCAAATCTGTTTCTGTGCAATGATGTATAATTGTTTGACATGATTTAGATTTTCATGGAAATCCATTGGGACACCAGCATAGAGAGCAGTGCATGTAGATTACTTCATTAAGCCTTAGTTTCCATGTAAAATATATACTATTCTAGATGGAAATCTTCTAAACCTGGCCTTTTTTATAGCATAAAGGAGTCAGCAATACCCAGATTAGCAAGATAACTTGGCTGATACTAGTCAGCAATTTATGACAGAGTAAAATTGGTGATTTTAATCCCAAGCTTCTTCTTTTCCCCCCATGACCCTCATCACCCTAAGCATTTAGAAAGGAATTGCAATCATAAATCAGTAAAGCCTGGAAATGTGTGTCTGACTCTATCAGCAGGACTGTGAGCACGTGTTCTTAGGTAATGTGCTTGGAGGCTGTTCTGATGAAGGCTGTTTCCTGAATGGAGGCCCAGCCTCTGTAATGCATTTTTTCAATCCATTTGAAAGCTGCTTGCTCACACACTTTTTCTCAGTAGAAGTGGGGTTTTTTTCACCTTCATGATGAGAAGAAAATCTAATAAGGCCAGCCTGACTAATCTGACATCTTCAGCAGGCTGGAACTGCAGCTTATCTATGAAAAGGGCTGCTGTGCCATGGTATTTACTGCTTGCTAATCTTACTGTATCTTATTGTCTGTCACAACTGTATTGTCAAAAAGACAACATAAGGCAAAGCTTTTTTTTTTTCTCCTTGAAAGGAAGAAGGAAAAAGTACAGAGTACATAGAAATGACAAACAGGCATTTTTCATTGGTTCAGGGACAGAACTTCATTTTTTGCAATGAGTACTATGTTAATGCTTACCCAAACCTATTTGACTTTAATGAAGATGAATTATTGGTTCTCCAAAACTAGATTTAGCTCATTGATGTTAGTGCTGCTGCAGGGATATGAGGAAGGGAAATTATCCAATGACTCAGCATCCTTGGTGACTTCTGACCTGATCCACAATTTTACTGGGCTTAATCAAATTGTTCTGCCACAGTTGCACTCATTTTTTAGTCAAATCAAGTAACGCTAGGGTTAATAGGAGTTACACTGAAGAGAATGGTAGATAAGCCTGTGGGAGGATTAAGTGAGAGTACAAGAGGACTTTATGATTTTTTAAAAAAGTATTTATTTAAATATTTAGAGAAAACTGTAAATGCTTTTGAAGAAACAGCAGGAAGCATCTTAGTACAATTTAGCAGAACCAAGTTTGTTTATTCTCTCAGAAGACCTATTCCAACATTATTCCCTGTAATTTCTAATTCTTTGTTTGCATACTGGCTTAGTCTGATGTTATTATTGTTAAGGTTAATCAGCTTTTGAACTGTGTTTATCAGGGTGTAAAATGTAGGTGAGCTCTCTTGAAGAAAAGCACAGTTCTTATGTGTCCTGTTTAAAGTGGCCTACACTTCTTACAGTGGAAGAGCTGGAAAAGAGATTGAGACACTGTTGAGTTGTCCAGGTTTCTAGCTAAGGGAGAAGAGAGATTTGAATTCTGTCCTGGAGGCTCAGTACTTTACACTGAGTGAAAACAGAAAATTCTTGTAGCAGAGGCCAGAAATTCACCCTTTAGCCACTTTCCCTAGACATAGGCTCAGGCATTTTTTGCTTGTTTTGGCTGTGTGACTCTTTCATGCACATAGGTTCAGGGTCAACAGGAAGGCCCGAGTTCCTCTCATTCATTTTCATTCATTCAGAGTCTGATGGTAATGGCACTTTTCTGGAATGAAGAAGCTGTAAGTTTAAACCCCTTCAGGTTGAGAAAGGGTGTATCACTCCTTGCACTAATTCAGCTGTGCAAGAGGTAACTTTTCCATGAATATTTTGAATGGAAATGGAAGTGGCTGCTGTCCTTTGTTTCAAAGTGCTGCATGAAAAGAGGGTTTTGAACCTACTCAAGTTATGAAGGGAAATGAAACCAATTTTTCCAGCTTCTGCTGGAGTAATTAGTAAAAAGTGGACTCTGATAGCCTTTAAAAGATGAAAATATTCTGCTGAAATAGACAATTACCTACAAAAGAGGAGTCAGTCCTATGAGTCCCAAAAGGGGTGGGAGCTTCACATATTTAGGTGATTCAGAAAATTCAGATCTATGGAGGACATGAGTTGAGTGACCACCTTGCTTGCATCACTTCACAGATAACTTGGGAATTTCACTAATCAGTATTTGGGAGCACAGAATTATGCAGTGGTGAGAACTAAGATTCTTTGCTCTTTGTTGGGGACTGAAAGCATCTGAGAATAAATCCTTGTAATTTGTGAAGTTAGAGCTCTGTGTCTTTATAGATCTCCATGTGTTCCCTTTGTTGTTGAAAAACATAAACAGGGATGCCTATATTTTTGGCTATTTAAAAAGTATATCCTGCACTTGAGTACACACTAATCTTTAACACTCCAAGACTGCTCAAATGCATCCTTGGATTTCCACACAGGGCAGACACAGAGGTTTTCAAGACAGATTTTCATATACATGTTGATGTAAGAAACACGTTTCACAAGCATATACAGTATATATTGTAGTACAGGTATTTTTAAACAGAGAAAGTATGAGCACAAAATTTTTTTCCATTCTTCCTAATTTCTTGAATTAATCAATTCTGTAAACATGTCCTAGTCTCATTAGCAGTGAATTTGATTTGCTTCAGTATCTCCTGTGTTGCTAGTTCAATCCTATGTAGTGTGTACTTATTATACAAGAGTCAGATTTTTATAGCTGCACATATGACAACATATAATAGGATGATGTAAATTTGCAGTGTAGACAGGCTGAACTTCAGAGAACAGCAGAGTTCATATGAACAGCAGAGTTCATAACATTTTTGCAAGTGCAGTTGTGGTGTTCTGATCTGTAATGTTTGTATCAATACTACATTCCACTCCTAAAATTTTGTACTTTTCAGATACAACAAGCTAAATGAAAAGAAGACAGAATTTCTGGAAAACATTGCAGTCTATGGAGATGCTTTTCTTTTACTGCCAGCATTTTCCTTCAGAAGCAACACGGCCACTTCTTTTAAAGTATACCACACTCTGAAAGAGTCCAAAGCAACCCAAAGGGCAATATTTTTTCACCCCACTTATCTGAAAAGTCTTGCCCAGTTCTGGAGAACTAAGGGTGTGAAGGCCTACCGGTTGTCATCTGGTTTTATGATCACTAGTGCTGCTCTTGAGCTGTGTGAGAATGTGAAGCTCTACGGCTTCTGGCCTTTCTCAAAATCCACAGAGAAGATGCCCATCAGCCACCACTATTATGACAACCAGCTGCCTAAACCAGGTTTCCACGCAATGCCCAAAGAATACAGCCAGATCCTCCAGCTTCACGGCAAAGGCATTTTGAAGTTGCAGTTCGGTAAATGTGAATCAGACTAAAAAGGTAGGTCCCATTCTCACCACATGAAATGTCTTTATTTCACTAATGTGCCAAGGGAAAACTTGTTACTTGTTTTACAAAGTGTGAGTTTGTTCTTCCTTAGAGAGACATTTCTACCTTACTCTAAATGAAAGTTGTATTTCCACATAAATGAAAGATTGAAACTTTCTGAATAAATACATATCACAGAGTTGAGAAATGTTTTCCAATTGTGAATATTAAAAGGGGAGCATAGCTAAATGCAAATTATCCCCATAAACCATAGTCAATCAGAAGTGTCTCCTTGTCTCAGATACATGTCTCTTCCAACTTAATGCTTGGTTTGGTATCGGTTCCCAGGTACCAGCCTCCTTTAAGAATTGCTTTATTAAAGGCATTCACAAATTGTGATCTTCAGAAGGAGACACCTAATCCTGGCCCAGCTCTTTATGTGTGTATACAGAGAACAGAGTAAGGATGAGGATTGTTCCATGAAGGGGAAGTATGCATCTATATCCTTGTTGCCTCTTGTTAAAGGGCAAAGATTTGAGCAGTGTGTGCTCACAGGCCTGGGATATGGAGCAGCTTGCAGATGGCAATGAAGGAGCTGCCATACACTGCAGCAGATCTTGCTGAGCATTTTACCTAGAGGCAGCTCAGAATCTGGAAGTTACAACTATAGGATGAAGTGTCATTCCTTTTCCTCTGTTCTGTCAATCCCAACCCCTTGGACCTCTACCTTCTGTGTACTGCCTCAGAGAAATGCAGCACAGTCTGGCCCTCTGGTCTTGAGCCAATTTACTGTGTACACACTAGAGATGCCTCTGAAAAGATTTGTCTGCATGTTTTCAATGTTTCAATGTTTTCAATGTTGACAAATTTATATAAATACTTCTTCATCTTTTAAGCTAACTCAGAAATTCCTGAGCTCACAATACTGTTGTCAGAGTCTCCTTCCACAGACCTCTATTTTTCCAGGGGGTCCAAGTTAATATAATAGTAAGTGAAATGTAAAGTAGAACTGCCATTCTATACTGTATACTTCAATTGAACTGATGTATTCTCATGACTGTATTACTCAAGTTAAATAAATAGCATCATCTTGTTCAAGCCAGAAATTTCAAGCTTAAAAGCGAAGGGCACTTTTCTTCTGGCTAGGTTCTGAAATGCATTTGAAAATATCCTTTTTTGATATTTAGAAAACATGTTGTCAAAGATATGTTCACACTTACTTTATCATCAGAGAATGCTAAGTTTTAAAATAGCAGATTGTTAGTACCAGGAAGGCACAATTTTATTCAGTTTCAAGGGGTTTTTTAAGAAATAGAAAATTAAATGGCTTTCAGATTATTAGAATAATATAAAACCTGTGAGAAGGGACCTAGAATCCATATAGTGAATCTATTTTCCTAGTCCATGGCAGGAGATTACCTAGGAAGAATTTAATTGTATATATATATGCACTTTCATTTTTTGCTTGTAAAGGTTGCAGCATATTGAAAAGGTTAACTAATACATAATGTATTTTTTCTTAGTGGCTAAGCTGTTTATATCCAGCAGTTTCCATTGTATTTGTTATTCCTATAATATAAATCATTGGAGACATACTGTGTAATTTTAACTGCAGTAACTACATGAGGTAAGAAAATGAAAGCCAGCTCCTTAGAAATATTTACTCTAGAGAGAAGAAGACAGAAGCCAAAAAAATATTTAAGTATCTGTATGTGTTAATTAAATACTGTCCATGCTTGATAGACTGAAAACCACTTGTGGCCAAATTTGCCAAATAAGCTGTAAAGGAAAAAAAAAAAAAAAACACTAGAAGAATAAGTTGTGCTGTCCTATTTACACTTATATTTACAAAGAGAAAACTAAAGAAATGCTTTCAGTATGAGCTACCATTCTGCTAGTATTACCGATTATGAGACATAACTGAAATTCTAGATTGAGTATATTTTACTGAAGATGACCTTTTCTAAAAATTCAACAATCTCCTTTCCCTTTTCAATTTCCATTTTATGTCCTTCTCCATGCTCAGTGTTCTTTCCTCTTAGTGGGTAGCTGTAGGTTCCTTACACTGATGGGTGCCCACAGAAGGCTCAGTCAGAACCTCCCACACACATTACTGGGACACAAAAGTTTGCTGCTGTAAATGAGAACTGAAGGAAGCTTCTCTGCTGAGAGCACCTCTAGGGAGATTATAACTGCCTCCCAATTAATCATTTTTGGCAATATTGCTCCTAAACACCATCCTTGCCAATGTAATTTTTTTCTATTGGATAGAGAGAATTGTCAGATGTGAGAGCCCTGTCTATACAATGTGGGGAATTCCATCTTAATATCCTCTCCTGTACCTTTATGACTATATTCAACAGACATGTATAAGTCATAACTAAAGTCAATGCCCCCTATCACAGCGGGTCAAACAGAAAATGCAGCAAAAGCAAAATATTGAAATATAATTAATGATCTTTATTATTTTGTATTAGATTACCAAATCATTTTTGCTATGCAGCTGAAGGAAGTCTTATTTGTTCATTGGTTTAACCTGATAAGGGCATGTCATTAGCTTCAAGCAAACTTAGGTTCAAGGAGGGGAAATGACCTAATTCATATTTAAAAATAGAAAAAAATCTGATTAGAAAAATTGTCAGATGATAAATTAATCAGACTGGCATAAATTTGATTGCCCAGAAGCCTGGTTAAGATGCAAATTTTGTCTGACCAAGAATCCACCAGGTTTTCTGTTTGCTGGGAAAAGACAGCAGGGCAGATGAGTATGTGTTGCTTTGACATACAAAACAGTAACATTAAGCATCTGCTCAGAGGAGTCAGTCAACACAAAAAAAAAACACAGAAAGGAAGAATGAAACTGAGACTCTGAGTCTGGGGAAGAAAATAGTGCTCAATTGTCAGAGCAGAAGGACTCAGGGAGGAGGGCTTGAGCAGAGGTGTGTGGGTGGTTAGGAGGTAAGAACTGCTGAACTCTCTGCTGCATATCTTATCTGGAAGTAAAAAGTAGGTATGAGTTTTTTAACTCCAGCCAAGTTATTAAATGTGATCTATTTCTGACAGAGAGCAGCAGTGACTCCCTCCACTCAAGGTGGAGTTGGCAGAGCAGCATCCTGTGAAGCAGGGGGATGCCTGCTTACTTTCTCAGCAACTAACACCAAAAATAATAATTTTTTTCCCAAACTCTGTCAACATGTGATGTTTTTTTAATCTTGAAATTTGCTGCAATCCAAGTAAGTGATAAATACTGCTGCACATAACCTATTTATAACTGTAGAATGCCTACATGAGCTTAAATACTGTTGAAATTCTTTTGTGCTTGTGGTGTCCCAGTGTAGCTAGAGAAATAAGAACTAACCCACAGTTCAGTTATAATTACCTTGAGCAAAATCATACCACATTTTAAAATAAGGACACCTCTGGATTCCTGTCAAGCAGCCAAATTGCAGACTATTCTTGACTTGGGCAAATATTATCCAATGTGAAATTAGTAGAAAGAAACAAAGGTTTTCTGCCTTAGATACCTGCAGTACAGCTTTTAAGCACACACTTTGCTCAAGCATTCAGTGAATTAAATTTACATGTTAAGAATAATGTCAGTAATGAAACAACTGGAGATAAATTGTTTCTGGTTTAGTTAAAACCTATCAGAATAGAAAAGTATAGATTAAATCAAATGAGAATTTATGTTAGATTTCAATTAAAATGAGTAAGTATTTACATATCTAGAAGGGCGTTGTTTTGGTTTTCCACAAGAGAACTATCCTGTTGAGGAAACAGAATAATTGCAATCTCTGGCAATTTCAAAATATGAGTAAGATAATATAATTTAGAGCATATCCATATTCAAATGAGCAATGGATGTGTCCCCATGAAGATGCTTGCTAGACCTGCCTTGGTTAGTTTAGGAAGCCTGAAGAGTGTGGAGCACTGGGATAAGTGTGAGTGGTTCTGGGGGTATCCAAATGAAGGAGTCCTCCTTTAGAAAGAGTAGATGCTTGAGTTAGACCAGGCAGGAGCATTCCAGCTTAGCCAGGAGAATTCTGAGAGCCTGTGGTCTGTATAAAAATCTCACAGACTCACAGCCTGAAAGACAGATGAAAGAGTGATGCAGAAGGTGCAATGCATACAAAGACTAAACTATTGGCTTATTTCAAGTATAAAAAGTAGTTTTTTCCACTAAACAAGAAATACCAATAACATATTTTATTGTTTTAATTTCAGGGTGATGATCCTCCTAAGAAGACAATTTATCTCAGCAGTTTTGTGGTGGATTTGATCTGATGTGATTTTATGAGCATTAAACTGCATATAATACAGTTCTACAATAATGCTACAATAGAGAAGTATTTTACACTTGGGGAGAAAAGGGAGTGATTTTTTTTTTTCACACAGTGACTGCTACATTTAAAAGTTTTGAGTGATCATTTTTTAAAATACAAAGTAACAATTATTTGAAAAACTCTGAAACTCCTTACTGCTGGTTTAATGGTAGAAAAGCACAATCTCAGGATGGTGGCAATATGTGACATTCATCATATTTTGCTTCTAGAGGATCATAAAAATATTTTGACATAAGATCTCTGGTTTTGTTGATGCCACATAGTATAGGCAGTAGTCACTGTGTGGTGGCTGCATGAGTTGGCAGTGAACGTTTTCAGTTAAGAACTTCATCCCGTAAATACTGGCATTTTTCTACATGAGAGGAGTGATGAGAAGACCTGCAGAGGAGTAATTAATTCAGAGCCATGTCATTCTTAGTTTGTCCCAGGGTGCACAGATGAGAAAATCCCTCAGGTCAGAGGTAGTTAAGTGGTTTATGGGCTTTCATTCTGTGGGCAGTAAGTAGTGCTGTGGATTTAATGGGCTTTCATTTTGTAAGCAATAGATGATGTGCTGTGGATTTAATGGGATCACTTATATGAGTGATGTTAATTCTGAGAACAAGTGTATGAAGGACCAGAGATTTATAATTATTTATAAACCACTCTACTTGCTTGTATTCCTGTCTAAGGTCCAAGTTCAGCTCCAAATGAGGACTGTGAACCTAGTTCCACACAACAATCCCCAGGGTCATGGTAAGGCATGACTTTGCACACATTCTTACTATTACAGTTCTGTGTCTTGGCTCATACATGGGATGGAATTTTCATTAGAAAGATGATGGATACCAAGCCTGTAATGCAATTTCTTTTCATGTAGTATAGCTTGTATTCATATGAGACTACAGGTAGTGAAACTGCACTAAGCATTATTAGAAGAATGTTCCTCTTACCATCAACCCCAAGCTCTTCTACACCAGGATGTATGAGAAAACTGACTATATAGCTCTAATTTACGACCTGTGTAATTCTTTAAGTTTTCTATATGGTCCAAGAATACATGTGGAGCAACATCCTGCAGCAAGAGAAAGTGAAATATCAGCCCAGTGGAAAGAATAATTTTAACATTTACAGGAGCTTTGACAAGCAGATGTATCCTAGCTATTTCTGCTTATATGCTTCTATATGCTTACTAGAGAAAAAAACCCCAACAAAACAAGCAAAAAAAATTTAAGATTTATAATAACCAGATTCTGATAAGAGTTTCACTGACTCTTGTGAAATTCCTTTGAATGGTCAGTTCAAAGATAGAGTGTCCTTCTTTTACACTTAGATAATTTCAGGTATTTTGTTTAATAAAATTCCTTTTGCTGCTCCAGCATTAAATCCCAAATCAACTGATTTGAAGAGCATTCAGTGTTCCACTCTTTGAGGATTATATCTGCAAAAAAAAAAAAAAATCCCACTTAAATGAATTGGACCTTATAAAATAAGGTTCAGAAAAGCTGTTTAAATTTATACTTCATAAGAGCATTACTGTATTGTAATATTTGAATGCTTACCTTGCAGCAGTTTTATAATCATATAAGCACTCCTGGAAGTATTAGAATCAATCATTATGGTTACAGGTCTGTTGATTGAGACACATTCAGTATCTGGATCCATTTCCTGGATAATGATATCAGAATCCAGTATTACTCCTACCCAAGCAGAAGTATCCATAAATTCTGACTGCAAATATGAGCAATAAAGTCCATTTTTGAAAAATAAGGGGTAAAAAGTACATAGTGCTTTGAGGCAATAACTGGTGCCACTAATAGACATGTGGACCTCTGAGTGTCAGTAGAGCCTTTAACAGAAACAAAACAGCAGAACTGAGCTGATGAGTCCATCTGCATTACCAGCTGGTAACTGGAAGAGGGGAGCACAGGGGTTTGATTTATTTTGATCTGTTCTAGTTCCAGCACCACTATCCACATTTTTGCTTCCCCAGCTGTGAGATTTTTGGCATTTTCTGGCCACAGTATCTGCTGCTCATATGCAGAGAGCTAGCTGCTGAAAGAACCTGCACCCATGTTATGAGTGTTATGGATGATTGCCTAATGCAACATCCTAGTTATAGATCAAAGACAAATTGGCTCCCAAAAGAGCATCTCCTCTGCTATAAATCACTCACATGGAGTGTTTTTAATAGAAGCTGTGCAAAATGAGGTAGTTGTCCTTTGGGTGATATAAACAGCTGAGGTTGAGGACAACCTTGCTGCATTTCATCCAGACAAAGGCACACCTATGTTCATGTAAGTACTGTAACTTACTCCAGCCTAGTGTAGAGCAGTGAGGTGATATTGGCTGTGTAGCAACTCCTTGGTGTATCTTGGGGAAAATTCATACATCTTTTGCAGGTTCTTGCATAGTATCCAGAACAATTGCAAGTGCTCTGTGTGCACACAGAAATAATGCAAGATCATTCTTTGCTCAGACTAAATTCAATTAACTACTCAGCCTGAGTAAAGGGGCAAAACTTGGTTGTGTGAAGTAGAAGATAGGGAAAGGAGAAAATTAAATTTATCTGCAGCAACTTTTTTCAAAAGCATTTGTTAGTAACGAGGCACTGTCTCAGTGAATAAATGTAAACAGTGTACCTACCATAACACACCACAAAGAGCAGAAGTTACTGTGCGTCAGAACTATTTCTGTGCAGCTACATTATTTGAAAAACACATGTATTAGTGTTACCAGAAAGATCATCAGAATACATTTTAAGAGAGGTTTAGCCAAAAAGAGGAAATCTATTTTGGCTTCCTTGATGAAAAGAGGTCTTAACTAAAGGAATGTGATGTAGCACTCACAATTGAGAGCAAATAGAAATTTCTATAGTATGGACAGCCACTGAAATTTTAGCACTGTTTACACAAAGTTTAAACTTGCCAGTGACTTGAAAACCTGATCTTCCACACCCTCAAGGCTCTCAGTGATTTATGTGGACCACAGGGCTGATAAGAAATGCTTGAAGGAATTGTTGACCTTTCCTACCCTTTTCTACAAATGCTCTTAACTCTCCATAGAATAAAAATATACTCTGTTGCGCTTTAGATTAAGATCCTCAGGCCTTGCTCCAGACATGAAGTTAGTATGAGATGTTAGTTATATCCACTTCACTCTGCAGGAGGGCAGACAATTCTTTTGCAAGACTAAGCCAACATCAGTTTGGATTAAGGATCCTTGACCAAAGGTTAGTAAGGACCTTTCAATTCCCTCTATTTCATATCAGGAATATTAATTTTTAGGGTTTGTGGACCTCCAATGCTGTCGCATGCTGTAGAATGAATGTTGAGATTAAATGGTTTTCTATAGAAACACTGACAGTGTGCTAAAATTTCCAATGTACCTTTGCAGAAGCTGACAGTGTCCTTACACGACTGCATCACAGCATCATTAGATTAAAGCCTACCTGGCTGCTTTTATTCATTTTTCTCTTCTGAATCTCTCATGTTGCATTCTCATTCTGGATCCAGTACTGCCTTGAGTTGGTTATTTGTCTTTACCCTGTGGAGTGCTATGCAGGCATGTGTAGTGTCTTAGGGAGTTTGAGTGACTGTGAGTCAAGCACTGCTATGCTTGCAGCACAGTAAAATGTGCTGGAAATGACTGGGTTTACACCTCCAGGAAGGCAGCTTGGTGTGATATTCACATGTCCTAACTGCAGGTGTTAAAGTTGGTCTGTAGCTCCACGGTGATTTAAGCTGGAATGGCTGCAAGGTCCAGTCCCTGTACTTGTGCCCCAGTCCCTGCATGCCATGTCTGGCCTAAGCCTGTCCCACACCAAGTTCTTTTGGCACTCTGAGATGGTGAAGCCCTACCATGGCAACAGAATGAGATAACTGGTTTATGCCAAGGGACAGGGGAACTTCACAGTCAAAGCAAAGGAGGGGTAAGACCATGCAGGTGGGATTGTAGGGACACAAGTGCCTTTTGTTATCTGACAGCTGTTGGACAGACCCAGTGGTCCCCTGAAAGCTTGACCAAGTTCAGAAGGTAACATCTCTGAGGGTCTGCCTGGTCAGAAGGGAGAGATGGGCCCCTGCAAGGGGGATTGACAGCACAGCAGCTGTTCCAGTGGGCTGGAGCCCATCTCTCCCTGTGGTGCCAGAAGGTGCTTAAGGCATCTACACTAAGGACTCTAGGTGCCTGCACTGCTGATTATTGCTTACAATTCTCTCTTTCTTATTACAGTCATTTTAACAAGCTGGTGACCCCAGCAGATTCAGAAATGATAAGCAGAAAAAATTCTCAGTTCACTGATGGTAAACTTGCATAAACTTGCTTTTTATTCAGTATTCCTTTGTGTTCAGCCTCTTCTAATCCCAGCATCTAAAACAGTATCTGCAGAGAAAAGAGATGAATGAAGCCTGAGAGGGTTGAGACCAGTTACTCTCACTTTGATTCTCTTTCCTTTGTACAATAGTGAGATGACTGACATACCACCATGCTTGACAAAAGATGAGATTTTCTGTCTTGAGTGACTCAGGAAAAGAAACGAAATTTTCTGGGTGACTTCTGACCTTCGTGGCTCTCTAAATTACTAGCAAAATATTCCTGTTGTTAGGTATTAGTTGATTTTATGCAGTGCAAATATTTGGATCACTTAATTCATCTGGGTTTATTGAGCATGTACACCTTGAGCCTGCACAGACTCTGTGGTGGAGCTGCAGCCTAACACAGTAATATATGTTTAAATCCATGTGACCTACAGATCTTTTTTTGTCCTGTCACTTTCTCTCCTGTGACAAATCTGTGGAGGGAGGTCCTGAATATCCAGACAGTAGCACCTCCAGGGACACTCAGGTCCACAAAGCACACATCCACCTGGGTACAGGGGTCTGTGAGATCAAACCCAAGGACTATTCTCTGGAGTTTTTTATTCTGCAACAGCTCTAATTCAAACAGCTGATAGCCACTTGCTGCATGCTCTGAAGCAGTAGACTTCTTACATGTGAGCCTTTTAGTTAAACATATCTTAGTTGAAAATATTCAAAGCCAAGTAATCCTTCATCTTGTGGTACTTCAGCAGCAGATCTCTTTTAATCTCTAGGTCTGCTAGCCAGCAACAGCAATTAGGGGGCATGTAATTACTTTAGAAGGTCCAGCTCTCTTTATTTTGAATTCTGTCATTTTAGGCAGGACCATCCTTCTCTGAGTTTCTGGACAGAAAAATTTCAAATTCTTCTAATCTCTCGGGGTACTCTGGGGAAATCCTCAAGGCTTGTTGTATACCCACGGCATACAAAAAGTTGGCAGATTTCTATTTATTAACCTTTGTTCCAGATTTTCATAAAGTATTTAATTGGCTCAAAATTATCATTATGATCAAATAGAGCAGAAACACTCTGCAGTATGCCACTGAACAAAGGGACTATTGCTGTTATTTGGTGGTCTTCTTTCATAAGGGCACGTTTCAGAATACCTTCCTATTCTGGGAACACGGCTCACCAGGGGAGTGACCCGGGGTTACTGGGTCACAGCTACAGGAATAAGTGTCAGTGTGCTCTCAGTGTCAAGATTCCAGCAGTGCAGAAAGAGCTTAACACGATGGGAGTACCTCAGCTTGAGTTTGCTATCAAGCAAGGAGTCAGTGTAGTACTGTGAAGTGTGGTGATGGAGCTCACATCGCTCTGAGCACAGGCAGTAACTGCCCTTGGGTGCAGGTGTTGGCAGATGCTGGTTTAAGGATGAAAACAGTCTGGCTGTGACTGGAGCCAGCATCCTCATGTTGCCATCAAAAGAACATTCAGGTCTGTCTTTCGCTAAATCCTGATGTACCTTCAGCAATACATCAGTGTTTGTTGTTGCACCTGGTACTTCTGTGTCTCGTCTTTGTTCCATCCCTCTTCTCTCCAGTGAGAGAGAAGACTCAGAGTGCACGATGGAAGTATTTAATGATCCCATCATGGTTTCAAGGCAAGGGCCCATCAGAATGAATAATGCAAATGGTTGTGACAGGATAGCCTATTGTCAATATTGCTGGGTTTAAATTCCTCACTGTTCACTTTAGTCCCTGACAAGAGGAGATTCTTCACAGCAAGTCTGTAGGCCAGCAACATGTTAGGCTTCTCACCTCTTGGCTTGGCTGTGAGATGTTTCCCTAAAAACACTTCCTCCTTGGTCTATTTATTGTCAGTATTTACAATACAAACCCATTCTTGAAATCCTGTGACATTACAGTGTAACAGCTGACATTTCTTCATTTTTATATGTACTATTTCTATAGTGGCTTCATATGTATTCTTTATGTTAATATTCTTTATATTCTTTTGAGTACCTAGTTTAAATTATTTAAAATATTCTTTTTTAATGCCACCAGAGTAAAGTGTGTGGGAAGTTACATAATGCCACCTAAAAACAGTCATATACAAGCCAAAATAATTTTAAAGGTATTTCACTGATTTCTAGAGGAATATTTTTCTTACTCATTTGGACACCTGTGT